GACAGTTTCGGAAATATAGAGTTTTTAAAAAAAAATGCACTGCCCACATAGCACGACTTCTTGCTGTGAGGTTACTGTAAGGATATCTGTAGGGTTTGTAAGGTTACCGTGTAAGCCTGCAGTAAACTTGAGGTCATCTTAAAACTTCCGCCTTACAGTAAGCTTACACAGTAAAGCTAAGGTAAGCTTACACAGTAAGGTCGTGGTAAGTTTACATGGTAAGATTGTGGTAAGCTTACACGGTAAGGTAGTTGTAAGCTTCCTTTAAGGTTACTATAAGGTTGATGTAAGGTTACTGTAAACATAGAATTTTGTTAATAAATAAAATTTATTAATATTTATGCGCAGTAGTTTTCTATGGCACATACGGCTGCGCAGTAACTTTTATTTGACAAACCCTATTGGGGTTCATAAAGTACTTTACCAAATATATAATTTTTTATGCAAAAAAATTTATAGTATAATATATATTATAATATAATTATTTTTAATATATTTTCATATTACTTTATATTAACAGTAACCTTACAGCAACCTTACAGTAACCTTACGGGAAGCTTACAACAACCTTACCGTGTAAGCTTACCACATCCTTACCATGTAAACTTACCACGACCTTACTGTGTAAGCCTACCATAGCTTTACTGAGTAAGCTTACTGTAAGGCGGAAGTTTTAAGATGACCTCAAGTTTACTGCAGGCTTACACGGTAACCTTACAAACCCTACAGATATCCTTACAGTAACCTCACAGCAAGAAGTCGTGCTATGTGGGTGTTTTTCAAAATGACGTAGCGGGCTCAATTTTGAATAATCCTTTGGGGGTTTAAACTATCTCACCTAAGACTATTACTTCCCTTAGTTTTAGAGAAATTGAAAGGCAAATCGTGATATTTCTGACGGAGTCTTACCCGGAATCGTGTTCAGCACACAGAAATACATTGAAAATCACTCCGATATTAAAAAATATAAAAAGTATTATTTTGTCGACCTGTGTTATTAATTATTATTATTAATAATTTAAAAGAATCTATATAAATATCAATTCATTTGTAAAATTTTATTAGTGTACGAAATCCTAGGTTTAAGAGCAAGTGCAAATTATACTTGTCCAATTTTTCAAAATTGAAACATATTGGAACGGCCATTATGAATTTTAAAAATCTGATATCAGATACGTAGTCCATAACCTCGCAAAAACTTCCGAGTAAAGAGTTTCAAACAAATTTTGAAAAAATGGTCCTACATTTTGTAGTCGCCATTTGAAATTTTTGGAATCTAACTTCAGAATCATAATCACTGACTATAAAAATATAATATACAACGTCATGAAAAATCATTTAGATATTGCTTCCTTACCGTAAAAGGTTAAAGATAATAATTAACATTTAAATATAATAAATCATTTAAATAATTTAAAAATTCTAAGAAATATTGTATGAATTGTATTTGTTCTATTTATTTTACTCCTACAAACTAGATATTTAATGTGTTATTAATTAATTAAACTATAATTTTACAAATTTTTATATTACCTATGAATAATCAAAAATAGTTTTCATACGATTTCTGATGCAATTTTTTATTTTTTATCAGAAAATTCAGGCCTCAGATTATACGATTTTTTTCAAAAATACTACCTTTATCGACTTATTTTAATAACATGTGACTATTTAAACTTTTTTACATTTTTTACAAAACTTTTAATCAAAATACGTATTTTTTATTATAAAATATAGATCTTCTTTAGATATATATAATAATTTAATAATAATAATAATTAGGGTCAGTTGGGGTAAATGGGGACAAGAGGTGATGGAGCTTAATTTACAGTTTTAAAATTAAGTTCAACGTCAGTATTTTAACCTAAGATCACCTACAAGAGGTTCTGAATATTGCCAAGCTTTTATCTTGACAATTGGCAGCAAGATAATTCAAGTTATCGCTCAATGCATAAAAACTTGAAAATCAAAGTGAAACTGTTTCAGTATTTTGTCTCGCATTTCAAACAAAAAAGGCTTAAAATAATACAAAATTTTTTTCTTATTCCTTATAACTTCCATAACAGAAATTAACTTGAATTTTTGATTTTTGTCAATTTGGTTAATAATAACAAGCTGCCTCCATTTACCATGAGTTTTAAAATTTTGGGTTTGTTATTATTAATCAAATTGACAAAAATCAAAAATTTAAGTGAATTTATGGAAGTCATAAGGAATAAGAAAAATTTTTTGTATGATTTTTAAGTCTGTTTTTTTTAAATGCAGGACAAAATACTGAAATAAAAAAAAAATAAAAAAATTTCAATTGGTTTTAACTATTATACATCTATTACAAATTTTTTTCAAGTTTTTTCATCTCTTAACACATTAATATACTTAAGGAAACTTTTTTCTTAAACCTTTCTTAGAAACTATGCTGTCTCTATTTACCCCAAATTTTATGAAATTTTCTAAATCTTGAGGTAAATGGTGACAGTCAGTTTCATGAGCTTAAAGCTTATCTATACATTTCTTTCTGCTGCATAAAATTAATCCTGGGAATGTAAATAACAACTTAAAAAAAATAAACCCGCAAATATTACCTTTTAATGGAAAAAACTTACGTAATTTGTGAAAAATAGGGATTTTTTCCCCATTTACCCTAACTGACCCTAAATAATAATTTCAATTATTTAACAAATTTTAAACTAAAATTCTTCTCTAAATTATTTTCAATAATTTTAATAAAAGTCTTCATAAATTCAATTATTTTATACTATATTTCAATTAAAAATTTTATAAACTTTAATAATTTTAAAAAAAGAGCAAATGCAATTACCAAAAATTTCAATTAATTTCTAAAATTTAATTATTTCTGAAATTGTACATCTACAACTTTCTGAAATTTAATATTTTTAACTACATATACCGTGGATGTCCCAGTTACCGTCCACCTAAGACCTAGTTTCCGTCCAGTTTAATTTTCAAAATAACATTTATAAAAAAATTATTTTCTTTTATTTGTTTACTTAAACTAATAAGTCGATTGCGTGCCAAAAGGAATAAAATATTGTTAAAAAATAATTTAAATTACTATACGAGATATTTGTAAAATGGACGGAAACTGGGACATGGACGGTAACTGGTACATCCACGGTAACTCTTTCAAAATACAATTATTTTTATATGGGATGATTTTTATAGGGGAGACTGGGGCAAACCGGCCATGTTAATCGTTGTAAGGATCTAGTAACTAAACAAACTAATGAAAAACCTTTTATAATAGCTTGTTGGAAAGGTAATCTAATTGTGCAACTTTTTCCCATAGACACATGTACCTTAAAATGTATTGTTTAGCTGCTGCATCAATTTTAAAAAAATTTGCAAATCGGCCGGTTTGCCCTACCCCTGAGGTAAACCGGCCACCCTTCTGGGGTAAATCGGACAATTTATTATTTTTATTTGTCTAGATAATTAAAAGAAAGGAAAACGTCATTAAATATAAAAAATAAATAAACAAGCTTCCCAAGAAGGAAAATAATAAGATAGGATTAAATTTCAATTAAATAAACATATTATTTATTATGAAAAAAGTAGTTTTAACATTGTTAAGTTTTTAATATTAGTGAACCCAATTCGACAATGTAGTTAATAAATATTTTCCTTTGAAAATAATTTTTTTTAATAACAACTGAAAACATTGTCACAATTAACACCTGCATAAGAAAAATGCTTCGTAAATAATATACTGATAAATTTAACTGAGGTATATTCACCTTTTAAACCTAAAAAAAAATTTAAAAAAAACATTACGTGATTTTCTCACAAATTACTTATAAACAGTTCTGCAAAAGTTTCTAGCGCGGGATCGGAAAAACAAACTTTTGTTTATAAAATTGCACAAACACAATTAAAAAATGTCAAACTGAGGAAATAAGGTATTCTTAATATAGTCTTTTCAAATTTGTAAGTAACATATTTTAAAGATTGACCAATTCAGGGAAATTAACACCTGGCATTTATCAATTAAAAACTTTTAAAGTTTAATATATGTCTGTAATTTCTAATAAAATCTACAGGAGCAGAAATCACTTAAAATTTCAATTAAAAATCGCTTGAAATTCAATTATTGTCAAAGATCTGAATTATGAATATTTCACTGATGGTTTAGTGGAAAAAAAGGGGCACGTGAAATTTTCATTCAAAAAGAGGACACGTGCCCCTTTTTTCCACTAAACCAGCGATTTGAACATTCAATTACTTTTGAAAAATGTTATATAAAATTATTTGATAAATTATTTTAAATTCAGTAAAATTTAATGTTTGAAACTTAACAAAATCTTTTGAAATTGAGTTATTTAAAAAATTTTAGAAATCCAATTCTAACTCTTTAAAAGTTAAATCATTTTTAATAATTTTAATATTTCTTTAAAAAATTCAATTATTAAAAAAAAATGTTTTTAATTTTGAATTCAAATTAATCAGTCTTCAAAAAATTTTAAAAATGGAACTTAAAAAATTTTTTAATTTTGTCCTACTTTATTAAAAATTTGTCTTAGTTTGATTCTGAAATATCCGAAATAAATTTTCTTGATAATATTTTTATAGAATTATTCTTATTAAGGAATCAATATAAAATTTTTAGTTGATTTGGAACAAAAAAGTTGCATTCTGTCTCACTGTAATTGAGATTACGTAGTGTTAGACAATTTTTGAGTTTTTCGTGAACGCAGAAATGTCGTTTGGTTTGCATAGGAATCCGAAAGATGACAGCACTATCAAGAGGAAGAACTTGTGCTGAAGTACATTAAAGTTATGCAGTGTATTTATATGCATGAGGCGCGTGTTATTTGAGTACATTGTATTAGAATTAAATTAAAATTATAAGTTGTTTAACAGTTGTAATTCGCTTTTCTTTTAGGTATTCTATTACGGAAGACACTACCACTTATCATGTATAACAACTTTATACAGATAGAGAAACATAACAATACAAATATACATTACAGAAGAAGTACGTATCCTCTTCTCAGTGTGTCTTTATTTGCTATCTCTTTTTTGATTGATGTAAGTTAAGAGTAAAGACTCAATGACAGTACAGATAGAGTGAGTCACTTTACACTGATAAGAAGTAGTTGCGTGTGCTAACAGAAAATTTCAAATTTACTTTCAAATAGATGAAAAAATAAAAAATGTTTTAAAAATATAGTCAATCTGTGTAAAACGGAAAACGTAACTTTTTATTGAAAACAGTGCTTTCGCGTATTTTTCACGACGTAATTGTGAGATGAATAGTGTCAGGATTAACGGGGAAAATCGAGAAAGAAATGGACACGTGCTTGTATGGGAGCAGTCTGGCCTGGAAGAAACAGACAGGCAGGCGCCAAAGCAAAGAGGTGTGTTTTTATTAAATGTTTCGCATTATAACTTTAATTACATTTTGTTTAAAGGAAGATTTCAGTTGATTACTTTCACAAATTGAGTAATAATTACTTATTAAAAACTTGATACTTTTGTCGGTTGTTCTTATTAATGACTGCATAATCATTAAATTTGTTTTAATGATGCTTTTCTATATTTTAAATTAATATTCTATTTGCGTTGGCCTTAGCGCCTTTTTTTTAATCAAAGTATGCTGTACGCCACGCGCCGATTCTATTTAAAAGCATAGGAGCATAACCACGTGCTCCAAGTATGCCGGTCTTGTGTTACCCAAGAGGAAACATCTGTAACTATAATATGTACCGAACGTAGGTGTATTCTGCTCTAAAGTTCAAATTATGCAATTTCAAGACGATGTCATTGTAATTTTCTAATTTTTAAATGCAAACTTCCTAAAAAAAATAAATTAATATATCCGTTCCGTTTTCAAAATTGATCTTTAAAACTAAAATTTTATACTAGTTTTCTTTCTACGTCACCTTTACGATCATAAAATTTTGTTTTTTTCAGTAATTTATTCATGTACTTGAAATATATTTTTAAAAACATTTTTTTAGTGGCTACAATAATTCAAAAATTATCGAAAAAATCTTTCGAACATTTTTTATCGCATATTTTATTAATTTCAAACGTTAAATTAAACTGCCAGTTATAAGAAGTGCACATAACTAATGTAATTCAAATGAGTTATATGCCCTTATTTGATCCGGCAGGTCAATTTAATTATATTTATATAGTGACAGCTCTTTTTGATGATTGGAAAACAATAAGTAAGTGCATCAATTACCGAGGGTATTTGTCGAGGTTCATAATTTTCTGTTTGATATAAATAATAATTGTTGAAAATTTAAAAAAAATTAATAATTTCTAAGTAATTTTTATATTTTCAACTCAATCAAATTTAATATCATACGTATACTAAAATAATAATTATTTGTTTAAAATTATAATTCACTACTATCTACTTTGCTCGATTCGATATTGTTTTAATACTTCAAGTTGACTGAAAATTTAAGGTTATCCCAGGAAAAAAAACTTATTTTTGAAAATCGTATCGAAAAATTTTAGGTTATGTTGTCATGTTTCGCACAAAATTTAATAATTTTTAATAAGCGAGCTTTTTAAACAAATTCTACGGTTGAGTGTCAGATTTGCTTAATACTTTTAAAATTGAAAAGATACATATCACTGTCAATACAGCCTTCGACAGATTCAAAAATATTGAATAGGTTTTTATTTCCTGGGAGTTTATAATTTGTCCGTAATTATATTTGGCAATCTTCCGTAAAATTTCATCTCAATCCATTCAGTATTTTACAAGAAAAGTTACGGACAAAATAACATTACAGACCTAACAGTCACATAACCTTAAAATATTCCAATAAAGAGTATTTTCAACTACTTTTTTTATATTAAATTATTAATCCGACAGTGTTGTAGAAAGACTATATTAACATTGCATATAAATATTTTTGCATGTTAAAACAAATATTTTATATTTTTGAAAAAAGGACCATACTTAAATTACGTAACGCTACATTGGGGGGGGGGGGGATTCAAGCTATTTGTTAAGGCACTCTCACACTTTTTTGGCTGCCTGCAGGTTACCATGACAACGCATGAGAGTTAGTGCGACGGAAAATTTAAAAATTTGAATATTCAAATTTTCTGTCTCACTCACACTCGTGCGTTGCCATGGTAACCTGCAGGCAGGCAGCCTCCCACCACGCAGAAAACTTACAAGAGTAAGAGAGACAGAAAATTCAAATTTAAATCTACTGACTCTCTGATTGGCGTGTGAGTGCGCCCTTACACACAGCAAAAAAATGGCGCTAAAGCACAAAAATGTGTTAGGGCGCACTCACACCTTTTTGGCTGCCTGCCTGCCTGCAGGAGTTGTCATGGCAACGTGCAGGAGTAATAGAGAGAGAAAATTCAAATTTGAATTTACTATCTCTATTACTCCTACACGTTGCCATGACAACTCCTTCAGGCAGGCAGCCAAGAGGTGAGAGTGTACCCTTACATGGTGGGAGGGAGTTCAAGTTGTCAAAAAAAAGCGTTACGTAATTTAAGTATGACCCCAAAGCAACTCATCGGTATCTGGTTTTCCATTTTTCAAGATAGTGATTCGAGAATTGATGATGTCAGTTTTTGAGTTAATGTACCATTTTTTGATAGGTTAAACAAGTAAATTATTTTTCGTATTAAAAATTAGAAGAAACTCATTTTTAATCTAAAAGATTAGAGTTGCCACAAGTCTGAGAAATATAACTGAATTTAAAAAAATGTTGTAAAGCTAGATTTACTATTATAAGATATCTAACATGTTTATGTATTAAAAATCAAAGTTTCCTTAAAAACATTGAATTCTCTTTGAATTTATAATTTTTACCTTAAAAATATTTATATTACTTTGAATTTTAAAACAAAACCTTGAATTATTAAAATTTTATGAAATAGTATTTGTTGTTTAAAATACTATTAAAATCTCAGTTTAAGATAAACGGATAAAATCCAAAATTAAGAGAAAAAAATTTAAATCTAAAGAATTAAATGTGATGGAAAAAACTTTTTCATCGTCATAATTCATTTAAATTCATACAATTTTATAAATTTCATACAAAATAAAATTACTACATTTCTGATTACGTCAGTAACGTGTGCTCTGGTCTGACAATCGTCTAGATTTTATTGATTTTAATTTTCCAAATCAAATCAAAAATAAATAATAGGTTTGAAATAATTTACAAATTTAATGTTTATTTAAATTTATGTGATCAGTTTTTAGCGATTTTTATTAAAAAATAATATAAAAATAAGAATAGGGGATAAATAAATCTTCGATAAATAAATTTATACAATTATGATATTCATGAATATTTTCATCACTTTTGTTCCTATTATTTTTTTAATAAGATACGAGAATGATCTCAGTTAATCCAGCTTAGCAGTAAATACGAATTGGACCTGTTTTGGAATTCACTTGAATTCGTCTGAAGCGTATTGCGAACATTCTATTCTTATTAACTCTGTGAACAAGGTTAAAGAGATTTAATCTTTTTCAATTCGTCAATCCGAATTGGAATCAATTCTCATTAATTCTTTTCAATTCGTGAAGTTGAGAATCAACCTTTAATTCGTCGAAATTCTTGCACGTGAATAGACTGCAGCACTAATTAATTCTTTTAAATTCGTACGTTGAAAAATCTTAATCAAATTTCTTTGAATCTTTTACAACGAATTTAAAAATTCTCCACGACACTTACATTCTAATAAATTCGTTATAACCAACTAAATTATTTAAGTTTTGTACTGAAAGAATAATATCCAATATATGTATAGAACACGGAGAAAAAGAAAGAGTAATAATTGTAACATTTTCTATCAAAAATTACTACTTTCAAATAGTAATTTGGGAACTGCTCAAGAAATAATAACTTTTATTAAAAGCTGAGTAATATTTAAAATGTCCCGAGCAATTAATACTAGAAGCGAAGAAATTTTTATTATGAAGCGGAGCAATTATTACTATTTCGTAAGGATTTTTACTATTAAAAGTAGTAATCCGTATCATTACAACGCAACGACGCGCCTCACACCGACGGTTGGTGGAAATGACGTCGCGTGTGCAGCTGCGCGCCTGCGCGTTTGTCACTAAAAACATTTATAAATAGAACTATATATATATTTTCTTGTTTTATTTTAATAAATTAAAATAAAATAATCAATGGGTTCAAAAAATTTTTCTCCAATTAATAAACATTCAATATGCGTATTATATTCATTAATTCACAAGTTCAACTCTTTTAACATGTTCATACTTATAATTTAACGACCAAACATCGAAAAATCTTAAGGAGGTTCTACAATAGATGCAAGACCAAGTCCAAGTACAAGTACAAGTGCAAATTTATTGTACTTGAATGCGCGCGCAACGTATTGCCAACTGTCGCTGAGGCGCAGTTGAAAATACTGGTAATTAATCTTAATAAAATAAATAATATTATTTTGAAAACAAAAAAATTGTGGGTTATGTGTACATAACCTATATGCAACGGAAACTGACGCAAACCAGTATTTTCAACTGCGCCTCAGCGACAGTTGGCAATACGTTGCGCGCGCATCCAAGTACAATAAATTTGCACTTGTACTTGTACTTGGACTTGGTCTTGCATCTATTGTAGAACCTCCTTTACATTTATACAGATCGAACCCTGTCTAACTAATATATAAACGCAACCTAACATATCGCACGCTTTTACATTAAGCCTTTCGGCCACGCAATCGCTATAGGAAAAATTTTTGTTTACCCGCACATATCCTTCTTTAATAATGTCAATTATAAATTGTATTTATTTATTAGATAAGTTATTGAATTAAAATAGAAACATTTTTAATAATATTAATAAAATAATATTTATAACAAATTTAATTAATTAAATTAAAATTACTTATTTTGTTACTTATTCTGACTTTATATAAAATAAATAAGAATTATGTAAATTAATTTTATAATAACCTATATTAATAAAATTAGTCTTTTGTCTGTACATTGCGTAAAACTTAAAAATTCATGTATAATTCTTCGTTTCAAGTCATAAGGATTCTAAAAATAGCATTAAAAAAAATTCTGTCTGTCTGTCTGTCTGCACAATATTTTGTTCGCCAATCACACATAAACGGTTTGACCGATTTAAGTGAAACTTGGCAGTCTTTTAGGTATTAGACTAACTTAAAATCTTAGCCATACCCCATTAAAAAATATTAACTTGAACGGAAGTTATGGCACTTTTTGTAAAAATCGAAATTTTAAAATTTTTTATTTTTTCGCTTATTTTTACTAGACTTTTTTTAAAAAGTTTTTTGAGGTTAATTAATCGCATTTTTACCTTAAAATTGAGAAAATAACTGATAGATTTAAAATTGTGAAAAAAAATTCCAAAAATCAAAT